GGATTTCTTTAGTTTCTTGATATTCACATATTTTCAGTTATTTTTACTTTTTTCAATTAACCGGACTACTTAATTCATTTCATTTTTAAATGTACCTTGCCTTTTACGATTATATTCCATTACATAAAATATTCATTTTCCCATTTTCTGCTAAATCTTCTTTTCTTTTGGAATCGAAAATGGAATCACGTATTACGATTTCGACGTCTCCCTCACGTAACAAAAGGTTTTAAGTACCCACGCGGCTACCTAGCCTAATACCCTTAATATAGGGGAAACCGGAAAAAAAAAGATACAAATAACTGTAAAACTCCGGAGTCAATAAATCTACTATAGAAAGAATTTTGGATACGTATTTAATAGAATTTTTGATAAAAAAGTTAGATTTTTTTGTAATTTTTTTATGTTATGTTATCTTCAATTTTATTGTTGAAGTAAAACTTCTTAGAGCGCAATTGAACTGTACGCAAATTTATAAATATAGAGGAACATTAATGAAAATCAAAAAGCTGGTGAGCAAAAATTCTAAAAATTTAGAAATATAAGAAGTATTCGTTTTGCGACAGAGTAAGGCATTTTGGATACGAATTTAATAGAATTTTTAATAGAAAAGTTAGATTTTTTTGTACCTTTTTATGCTATTATACTCTGAATTCATTGTTGAAGTAAAACTTCTTAGGCGGCAATTTAGAAGAGCGTTAACTACAAATATCTATGAACGAAATAAAATTTTTAAAAATCTGCTTACCAAAAATTCTGAAAATTTAGAATTATAACAAGTATTTTTTACACGATAGAGTGAGAGAAAAGATATCACGTAATGAGAATGAAAAAAGACAGCTATACACGAATTTAGAGCGAAAGAGAGCGATGTATACACAACTATGTAGAGTGACAGAGTAAGATATATGAATAGCAGAAATACCACTCGTGTTAATAAAATTTATTATTAGGTGATGAAAATTAATTTGTTTATATTTATGAATAAATATTAAGTAAGTATATATAAAAAATATAATATTTAACTAATAATAATCTCTACATATTGATAACGTGTCAAAAATATTTAAACTAGTGGGGTGGGTGGCATCGTGCCTTAAGACAAATTGCTGGAACTTCCCGTACCGTAACGAAACGTTCGAGGAATATTGAATGTTTTCAAATAGATTATTATAAATATTGTATTATTGTCTAATATTTATAATAATTATATAAACTGAATTGCAGAGTTGAAATTATTTGTTTAAAGTATATTAGAACTATAGTCAGAATTAAAAATAAAATCTGAATTATTTTCGATATACAAAAAATTAAAAAAAAAAAAAAAAAAAAAATGGTACAATTTTTTTTTCCAAAATCAATTATTTTGTTAAGACAAGCAGAAAGTTCTTTGAATCAATTGAATCGGACGCTTAGTTCTCTCAAAAACTGCCATTTTTTGTACATTTAGCTCTGTATCTCCGAAATGGCTGGACCTGCCTTTGCGCAAAACTAATAACCCTTTCTCCCAATCATTACTAATGGAATGTTTTTTAGATCATTCAAATCGGATGCTCCGTTCTCTCAAAAACTCGATTTCTATTTTCTGCACTCTTTGCTCCTTATCTCCGTAACTGCTGGACCTGTCTTTGCCAAAAACTAATCAGCTCTTCTCCTTATTAATAGGAATCGAATGTTTTTTAAACCATTCAAATCGGTTGATCCGTACGCCCGAAAACGTGGACGAAAATTTGTATCCATACATACATACACACACACACACACACACACACACACACACACACACACACACACACATCCATTTTTCTGAGGTATGCCAAAACGTTCAGAAACCTTCAAAACGTCGAGAAATGTAAAAATTTTCAATTCCGATTTTCGGCCCATTACAATAACTTACCCTACGGGAAGTTAATAAAACGTAACTTTCAAAAGTTATACGATTCAAAAATGAAATATATTTTAGACTACATTTCTGAAAAATATAATTGAGATAATAATTTGTATATTAATTTTAAAATAAGTTTCTTGCTAGACTTAATATTAGAGAGAGAGAAAAAGACAGATATAGTTATTTCAAAGTGAGTGAGCGAGCTAGCAATATTAATTTGCAACTAACTTCACTCACGTTAGGTTAACTTTACATTATAACAAGCAAATGCTGTTTAAAATCAATGACAAGTTAATAAAAATAATATAAAACCGTATAAAATAATTTTCGCTTTGAAATGTCAAAAGTACTTTGCAACTTAGAAAGTAAATTTGACAGTTCTAGGACTCTAACCAATCAGGTGGAAGCGAGACAGAGACAGATAGCGTTAGTTTCAAGTGAGTGAGCGAGACAGCAATATTAATTTGCAACTAACTTCACTTATATTCTTAATTGCAGCTCATTAGCATTAACATTACATTAAAACCAGGAAATGCTGTTTAATAAAATTAATAGCAAGTAAATAAAAATAAAATAAAAACGTACAAAATGATTATTACTTCAAAATGAAAAAAAACTTTACGATTTTGAGGTAAATTTGAGACTTTTACAATTATAACGAATTAGGTGAGAGCGCGACAGAGACAGATAATGTTATTTTCAAGCGAGTGAGCGAGATAGCAATATTAATTTGCAACTAACTTCACTCACGTTTTTAATTGCAGCTAACTAGCAACAAAATTACATTAAAACTAGCAAATGCGTTTAATAAAATCAATAACAAGCAAATAAAAATAAAATGTAACCGCAGAAAAATAATTATTACTTTAAAATGAAAAAAAAAATGCTTTGCAACTTTGAGGTAAATATGACAGTTTTAGGCGAAGTTATAACCAATCAGGTTAAAGTGCGACAGAGACAGATAGCGTTATTTCTGAGCGAGTGAGCGAGATAGCAATATTAATTCGCAACTAACTTCACTCACTACTTCAATTTGAGCATTTTCATTAGAGAAAATTCTTTAAAATAAAATTAAAAATCAAAATCTTATATATGGTTTTATTTTGTTTCACATGCTTTATTTTTATCACGAGAAATTGAATTGAAAAATAATAAATTTAATTCTTGATTAGAGTAGAGAAATTAAAAAAAAGTGTATATGTAAGTTTAGTAGAGCATATAATTTTTTAAGAACTGCTCAACCAATTTTCACTTTCAAATTCGGGCAACATTGGATGAACTTTTAGTTAATGCCTATTGCTTTGGTATCTCAAGTAAGTTCTTTTAGATCTTTTATAAAGCCTATTTACCCCGGTTTCCCTTTAAAATTCCCTCTAGGGAGCGACCGGGCGCACTTCGTTACAAAAGGATATCAAAATCGCATCAAGCATTCGATCCGAATCGACAACTACATGACAAATCCATTATTATTATTAATATTAAATGTATATATATATATATATATATATATATATATATATATATATATATATCTGAAAAGAAAAGGAGAAATTCTGAAAGAAAGCGGATTGACGTTACTTTTGACGTTTTCCATTACAGAAAGACGATTATGTCGATGGTTTAATTTAAAAGCCTTGTTCGCATTTTTTTGCTGAATCGAAATAATTAAGTAGTTGTAAGTGGCATTGTGCCTTGAGGCAAGTTGCATAAACTTTCAAAATAATTTACTTAATAATAAGGAAATTTAGTTATATCCTATCATTGGATATGATGCTTCCTCCTTAGCAAATTCAAATTTCTTGCATTCAAAGTTGAATATTCCTTCCCAGAAGTCTTCCCTATCTTCCTGTACCGGTTCGTTTGAATTATTGGAATAGTTTCCTCAATAATCTCGGAAGGAATTCCTGTTCTTGTTCCTGTTAGAAGCGGAAACTTTGCTAAAATCGAATTTATGATCAGGAGGAGCAGGAGCAGGATACTGGGTTGGGTAAGAAAATCTTATGCTGAGGAAATTGTATTAAGATCTCATTAAACTGTTTACGTCGTTTGCGAAATGATTTATTGTTGTTGGATTGCCAGTTTAATATGGTTAATAGATAGAGGGATTTGTTTTGTTGTAAAGACGGATAAAGTTTGGAGTCGAAACGTCGGTATGGAATTTAATTATTAGAACGACTTTTGTGTTTATAGAACTGCTCAACACTGGTGCAATTGGTCTGGTGTACAGTTGCATAAATATAGAAAGAAATATTTATATAATTGTATTTTATGTGATTGCCTGAGTACACAATTGCCTGAGCATAAAATTCCCTGAGTGCAAAATTGCCTGGGTACAAAATTGCCTAGATACAAATTTGCCTGAGTAAAAATTGCCTGAGTAAAAAATTACCTGAGTAAAAATTGCCTGAGTACAAAATTGCCTGAGTACAAAATTGCCTAGGTGTAAAAATGATCTGGATACAGAATTGCCTAAAGACAAAATTTCACGAAAACAAAATTGTCAGAATGAATGAAAATTTGAGTGTAGAATTGTCTAAGTATTAAATTGCATGGATCAGTATCCATAGTGTGCATGCAAAATTATTCGAGAACTTTGCGAATTGCCTGAATATAAAAACACCTGAATGCATAATCCCAAACAAACACAATTGGCAGAAAAAATTTCAAAACTTAAACTTCCCGAATTAAATTACTCGAAGAAAAAAGTCTCTTCAAGACAACATTAATTGAAAACAAATTTTCGACTATGTGAAAAATTGCATAATTGCAAAATTGCCTGGAAACCGAATGGTTTGAAAGCAAAATTGTCTATGTATCAAATAGCCTGAATTGTGCGAGTAGTGCAAAATTGCATGAGAATAAAACTGGCAGAACAAAAAACAAACTGAAAATCAAATTGTTTGAGCTGAAAATTGCCTGAATATACAAGCCTTCATCACCTTGCTACAACAAATATTTTAAAAATGATATTGCTATGGAAATAATCCTTAAAAATGATATCCTTAAAAAATTCCTAAATTACATGCTAACATACCACCACCTTAAATACGCCCACATATGTTTCCAATCATAGCTGTAAACTACAGCTAAAACTAGCTACTAATAATAATACCACTCTAAGTCTTACTACTTCTTTTGTACATTCTTTATCGTAGTCATCCATCAGACTATTCTTCAGCATGTCATGTCCTCCTGTCATGTTATATTACGTGTGACTTCATCAAACGCAAGAAAGGACCAACTCAACTTTGAATTATATCAAGTCTTTGTAAGCTATAGTTATAGTTATAGCTGTAGTATTAGCTATAATGCCAATTTATGAACCCGGAAGACGCCTAAGAAATTCCTTGGATTGGGTGAAGAAATGAACCACAAGATGGTAATAAGACAAAATAAAATTTAATTGCAAAATAAAAAAATGTACAGAAAATGGACTCTACTGACGATCAAATTTAAATACAAAGTTTAAAATTTAGAAGGGACTCTACTGACAAGCGAATTGAAGAAAAAAATCAATAAAAAAAAAGACTCAAAAAGCAAATTGAAATACAAGACCTCAAATACAGAAAAAGATTTCACTGACTTAAAAGCTTAAATATTAGACAAAAAAGGACTCTACTGTCGAGCAAAATAAAATACAAGTTTTAATAATAGAAAAAAGAATTCTATTCACGCTCAAAATGAGTGAGGACATAAAAAAAAATAATTTTACAAGCAAATTAAATAGTGACTTGGTGAATATTAAAACGACTCTACAGAGTGAATAGTATTAATTGTGAAAAATTCTATATTGGAGAGAGTTCACAATATATATCTTAGGAAATGCTTCAACATAATTATAATTCAAAAATAAATATCAATACAAAACAATGTTATCTGACCATATGCAAAATTTTAAACAAGATGGTAATAAGACTTATTTGGCTTTTTGAGCAACTTTCCCGTAGGCAATTGGGGAAAATTTTGGAACAGAAACTGGTTGAATTTTTAGGTTAAAATGTAGGCCTGAAATGAAAAACTTCTGCATGAACCAAAGTTTCTTTGTTGGTGAAGATATGAGACAATTGAAGGGCTAGATTTTCTTTTTAGGCTCATCGTGTGTTTGAGCAACTTTCCGATAGACAAATGCAAAAACAGGACTTCATTTAACTCGATTTTGTAATGAAAAGGAAACCAAGTTGGATTTTTAAGTAAAATTGCAGAAGTGAAGGTGATATGCAACTTGCTAGTAGGTAAAATAAATAGACATTTGACTATAACTCGAGAACGGTTTGTCCGATTTGGATGATTTAAAGACGAGTACAAAGTTATCATCAATACATACCGAATGGTTTTTGAATCATCAAAATCGGACAAGCCGTTCTCGAGATATCTTTGAATTTCAATTTATTACCAACAGCAACTTGCCATAAGGCATTTTGAGGGGTTACTTGGCGATAACTGGTGAACGCCTTGACCGATTTGGATGATTTAAAAAGTATTGGATGTGTATTGATAATATGTTCAATATAGAATGTGTACAAATTAGCAACTATACAGCAAAAATTTAGGAATGCTGATGGACTAATAACGACATCATGATTTTCTTTAAATATATAACAAACATTTTGATATATATTGATGATAACTTCACCAATCTGTAGTTATCATCAATACACACCGAATGGTTTTGAAATCATCAAAATCGGACAAGCCGTTCTCGAGATATCGTTGAATTTCGTTTTATTACCAACAGCAACTTGCCACTAGGCACAAAAAATAGTTATTCGACGATATCTCGTGAATGGCTTGACCGATTTCGATGATCTAAAAACCATTCGATGTGTATTGATGATGTCTTATTGCACAATAGGCAGCAATAAATTATCTAACATACTACTTAATTATTTGGTTATGATTTAAATTCAACATATTATATTATAATCATTACATTTGACTGCCACGAATCCTACATGTTATCTTTAGACGTGTTAAACGCAAAATTTTTTAAACTCGCCTTAGAAGTTTAACTTCAAAAATTAGAACTTAACCGTACTAACTTATTTTTCCAAACAATTTGATTCAATAAAAGTATCAAATACCAATGATTATATTTTGGAACAGGATTAAGAAATTCTCATGGATCGATTAACATTTTTGATTGAAACTATATTCACACTAGTTAACAAAGTTGCTAACTTCACATTAAACTATACAAATCGAATTTCGGCGATATCTCGTGAACGGTTTGACCGATTTTGACAATTTAAAAACCATTCGATGTGTAATGATAATATCTTAAATACTATAAACTTATATATTATATAGAATATTATAAACTTCATTCTATAAACTTCTAGTTGACTAAAAATTTACATAATTAAATTTTTCAGTCCACAAGCACAAAAAATACATTTACCATTCAAGTTGCATCATAACCTATAAATCATATAAAACAAAATGTATATAATTTTAATGCATTCCACAAAAACCAGCCAGCCAGCCAGGATTAGCAATATAGCAATAACAATAGCTATAATTTCAGCTCGAATAACATATGTAGTGTTGGTAACAATGGGGACAGCTTTAAAATGGCATTTTGGGCAAAATAAACGATTGTCCGAACATGATTTATTGCCCGCAAGTGAATACGCAGAAATAATAAACGAACGCGAGAGAGGATTATAATAGATTTAAATTGGATGCTAAATAGTAATATATTAGTTAATATCAAATATCAAGTAATAGGCTAAATTAAATCTATACCTATTAGTAATATAAAGGTATCATCAATACACATCGAATAGTTTTTGAATAATCAAAATCGGTCAAACCGTTCATGAGATATCGAAGAAATTTGATTTTTATAGTTTAATGTGAAGTTAGCAATTTTGTTGACCAGTGTGAAGATAGTTTTAATCAAATATGTAGTTTGATCCATTAGAATCTCTTAATCCTGTTCCAAAATATTATCATCGATATTTGATACGTTTATTGAATCAAATTGCTCTGAAAAACATTTGAAGTTAAACTTCTAAGGCGAGTTCGAAAATTTTTGCGTTTAACACGTTTATCGTTATGTTGTGGTCGTGGCATTCAAATGTATTGATTTAAGTATTATATGTTGAATTTAAAACCGATCCAAAATATATATTTATGATCAATAAGTTTGTAGACTTATTTTTGGCTACCTATTGGCAAGTTGCTAATTGTGCATTAAGGCATCATCAGTACACATCGAATGGTTTTTAGATCATCCAAATCGGACAACTCGTTCACAAATTATCATCAAAAAACTATTTATATGCCTATTGGCAAGTTGCTGTTGGAAATAAATTGAAATTTAAAGATATCTCGAGAACGGTTCGTTCGATTTTAGTGATTTAAAAACCATTCGGTGTGCATTGATGATGACTTCACAATGGTAACGTTATCAACAACCCACATCGAATTATTTTGTATATATTAAAGAAATTGATGATATCCTTACTTGTCCCTCAGCATCCCTAATTTTTTTATGTAAAGTTGTTAATTTGTACATATTCTATATTTAACATATTATCAATACACATCGAATGGTTTTTAGATCGTCCAAATCGGAAGACGCGTTCAGAAGTTATCGTCAAAAAACTATTTATATGCCTAGTGGCAAGTTGCTGTTGGATATGAATTGAAATTCTAAGATATCTCGAAAACGGCTTGTCTGATTTTGGTGATTTAAAAAACATTTGGTGTGTATTGATGATGACTTTACACTGAAGAAGTTTTCATCAACGCACATCCAATCGTGAAAGAAGTTGATGATGTCCTTATTTGTCCACCAATATTTTTATTTGAAGTCGACAATTTGTACATATTCTATATTAAAGATATCATCAATACACATCGAACGGTTTTTAGATTATCCAAATCGGACAACTCGTTTACGAGTTATCGTCGAAAAACTATTTTTATGCCTAGTGGCAAGTTGCTGTTGGTAATAAAATGGAATTCTAAGATATCTCGAGAACGGTTCGTCCGATTTTCATGATTCAAAAACCATTCGGTGTGTATTGATGATGACATCACATTGGTGTGAAGTTATCATCAATATAAATCAAATCGTTATGTATATATGAAAGAAATTGATGATGTCCTTACTTGTCCATCAACATTCCTAAATTTTTTTTATGTAAACTTGCTAATTTGCACACATTCTATATTAAAGACATTATTAATACACATCCAATGGTTTTTAGATTATCCAAATCGGACAACTCGTTTACGAGTTATCGTCGAAAAACTATTTTTATGCCTAGTGGCAAGTTGCTGTTGGTAATAAAATGGAATTCTAAGATATCTCGAGAACGGTTCGTCCGATTTTCATGATTCAAAAACCATTCGGTGTGTATTGATGATGACATCACATTGGTGTGAAGTTATCATCAATATAAATCAAATCGTTATGTATATATGAAAGAAATTGATGATGTCCTTACTTGTCCATCAACATTCCTAAATTTTTTTTATGTAAACTTGCTAATTTGCACACATTCTATATTAAAGACATTATTAATACACATCCAATGGTTTTTAGATTATCCAAATCGGACACTCGTTTACGAGTTATCGTCGAAAAACTATTTTTATGCCTAGTGGCAAGTTGCTGTTGGTAATAAAATGGAATTCTAAGATATCTCGAGAACGGTTCGTCCGATTTTCATGATTTAAAAACCATTCGGTGTGCATTGATGATGACTTTAATGGTTAGATGTCATCATTGTCTATCAGCATTGTGGAAGTTTTTGGCTGGAAAGTTGCCAATTTTGTTGATACCGAGGTGAAGATCAATCAAATTTGCATGCCTGGCATGGTTTTTCATGGCATTTGTTAGAGATTATTATTATTATTTCAATTTCCAGTATTTTTTCTGCAAATATATATATTTTTAGTACAGAATTCCTCGTCCCAAAGGAGTGTCTAAATCTGTCGCAAATTTTACACAAAATTTGCAAATTTATATTTATGAAACGCTTGAAAAAAATAACTTTTTTAACCCTATCGAACTTTAAACAGATGGCTTTTAAATTTTAAAATCGGTTCAAAGATTTTTGAGAAAAATTCGACGAAAAAAAGAACGAATTTTGTATTACATATACGTATACACTCATAATTGTTTTATTTTTGGTTTTTGGCTGGGAATTTGTTAGTTTTGTTGATACCGAGGTGAAGATCAATCAAATTTGGAAATGTCTGGCATGGTTTTCATGACCTGTGTTTCATAGATGTTATTATTATTTCAATTTCTAGTACTTTTTCAGCAAAACTTTTTATATTTCTTAGTACAACATTCCTTCTAAAGGAGTGTCTAAATCCGGAGCCAGTCGCCACTCTTATCCTATGTGACCATCTTTCGAAATGCTAATTATTTTGCATATTATCTTTGCTCGCCATATGTTTTGCTTTCTGCTCTCAGAATGCTCTGCTTTTTGATTAATGATTCTGTATTTGTTCCAACAGACATTTCTTGTTTTTTTTTTGCTTTATTTGAGATCACGATCGGGATGATCTGGATTATAATAAATTGTAGGAGGTAAGATTACATACAAACACATATAGACAGATCCATATTTCTACACATGGGTAAATTTAACTTAATATATACGTAACGTCAAACTTTACTTAAACAATATTTTATAAAACAGATATATTTATATACTTGCTTGTCAGTAGAGTCCATTTTTTGAATTTTTGTTTTTGATCAATTTGCTCGTCAGTAGAGTTCTTTTCTTAATTTTATTCATGATATACCAGAAAAAAAAATGTGTTCAATAATCATAAAGATCTTTGATTTGAAAAACAATAATTTATAGAACAGATATCTATATATTTACTTGTCAGTAGAGTCCTTTTCTAATTTGACATTTTTGATCAGTTTGCATGTCAGTAGAGTCCTTTTCTCCATTTTATTCATGATATTCCAGAAAAAAATTATGTTCAATAATACATAAAGATCTTTAATTTGAACAAAAATAGTTTATAGAACATATATATTTATATATTTGCGAGTCAGTAGAGTCCTTTTTGATCAGTTTGCTTTTCAGTAGAGTCCTTTCCTTTATTTTATTCATGATATTCCAGAAAAAAATTATGTTCAATAATACAAAAAGGTCTTTAACTTGAACAAAAATAATTTATAGAACAGATATATTTATATAATTGCGCGTCAGTGGAATCCTTTTTTTAATTTGACATTTTTGATCAGTTTGCTCGTCAGTAGAGTTCTTTTCTTCATTTTATTTATGATATTTCAAAAAAAATGTGTTCAATAATACATAAAGATCTTTAATTTAAAAAACAATTTATAAAACAGATATTAATGCATTTGCTTGTCAGTAGAATTTTTTTTTGAATCTCTATTTTTGATCAGTTTGCTCGTCAGTAGAGTCCATTTCTTCATTTTATTCATGATATTCCAGGAAAAAATTGTGTTCAATAATACAAAAGATCTTTAATTTTAACAACAATAATTTATAGAACAGATATATTTATATATTTGCGCGTCAGTAGAGTCCTTTTTCAATTTGACATTTTTGATCAGTTTGCTCGTCAGTAGAGTCCTTTTCTTCATTTTATTCATGATATTCCAGAAAAAATGTGTTTAATAATACATAAAGATCTTTAATTTTAACAAAAATAGTTTATAGAACATATATATTTATATATTTGCGAGTAAGTAGAGTCCTTTTTTTAATTTGACATTTTTGATCAGTTTGCTCGTCAGTAAAGTCCTTTCCTTCATTTTATTCATTATGTTTTAGAAAAATTGTGTTCAATATTATTTAAAATCTCTAATTTTTTTTTATGAATACTTTATTTAAGTTTGTTTGTCAGTAGAGTCCTTTTAATATTTTCCAAGTTGCAACTCAATTTGCTCATTTGTAGAACTTTTTTTTCTTATCTCGCTACTCATTTTATAAATCAATTTATTTAATATTATTGCTTATAATTAAATTTGCTTATTAAGTCAGTCAGTTTATTGTACAACTGTTTTGTGTTTCAGTTTGCTCGTCAGTAGAGTCCTTTCTTATTTTTTTTTATCTAATATTTAAGCTTATATAGTCAGTAGAGTCTTTTTCTGTATTTGAGGCCTTGTATTTAAATTTGCCCTTTCGAGTCAAGTCCCTTTTTTTTGTTTCTTTTCCATTTTGTTCGTCAGTAGAGTCCCTTTTTAATTTTATGCCTTGTATTTTAGTTTTCTCGTCAGTAGAGTCCCTTTTTCTTTTGTTTTTCGTCTTAATTTTGCTCGTCAGTAGAGTCCCTTTTTTATCTTATCCCTTGTATTATAGTTTGCTCGACAGTAGAGTCCCTTTTCTATTGAATTCTTTTTTTGTTTTGCAGTTTGATCATCAGTACAGTCTACTTTACATTTTGTAATTTAAAATAATTTCCTTTCAGAATTTTAGTAAAAATATTTCAAAATAACTTACATTGCGTCCTGCAGAGCTCGTTGAAAACTAGACAATCACATGCATGTACAGAGTCATTATTGCTTACCTGAAAATAAAACAAAAACATAAAAATTCTGCAAATTATTATAATAATGTAAGGATTAAAAAATATGTAAAATGAGACTCTACTGACGAGCAAAATTCAGAAAAAAAGTTTGTTGAGGCCCAGTTTGCTCATTAGTAGAGTCCTTTTGTTGTGCTACAGTTTTGTTTTTTAATTTGCTCGTCAGTAAAGTCCTCATAATAATGCAAGGATTAAAAAATATGTAAAATGTGACTCTACTGACAAGCAAACTTAAAAAAACATTCAAACTTTTTTGAGACCGAGTTTGCTCATTAGTAGTGTCCTTTTGTTGTGCAACAGTTTTGTTTTTTAATTTGCTCGTCAGTAGAGTCCTCATAATAATGCAAGGATTAAAAATATGTAAAATCTGACTCTACTGACGAGCAAACTTAAAAAAAAAATCAAACTTCGTTGAGACCCAGATTGCTCATTAGTAGAGTTCTTTTATTGTGCTACAGTTTTGTTTTTTAATTTGCTCGTCAGTAGAGTCCTCTTCCAGGCTGTTATTTAGTTTAATCTTTGGTGGAAACTTTGTTAATTTTTTATGATTTTTATTTCAGTTTTCTTGTAAGTAGAGTTCTCTTTATATTTCAATTTACAACTATCAGCATAAAAGAAAAATATTGGAAGGGGTAATGTTTACACTTAGACAATCAAGATGGCACTAGTATTTAAAATCGATGTTTTTAATGACACAGAATAACTCTACATATGTATATAGTATACTACTCTATATAGTATTCAGAGGATTTGTCCAGGAAATTATGTAAATACAATTTTAGGTACGATCGACATTATCAAATTAGTTTCCAAATTAAATCATTACCAGAATAATTTAAAATATAAAAGCAAAAAAAAAAAGAAATGCGATCTCGTTTCTAATAAACATAAAGAAGTTTCGTGTGAACTCCGACATGTGTCGGTTTCTTCCTTACGTTGCCTTGTTTGTTTTTGTTTCCTTGTCTTGTTTTTTTTTTCTTTGTTTTATTTTTTTATCCGCAAAGACTATTTATTTTATTTGCAGGTATATTAGTATATGGTTTTGTGTAAAATTTTACTCAAAAAAAATAAAATCTATATTAAGAAAACGTTCTTAATGGAATATAATATTCCAGTCTATACGTCAATTGTACTAGTTGTGATAAGGGCAAACAATTTTTTTTAGTATAATTTATTTGTCAACGGTACGCATACAACGATAGATCTCTATTTACTAATATTTGAAGAAGCACAAACTTGTCTCAAATTTGATGCCAACCTCGGCCAGCTCGATATCAAGATGTATGATATCAAATTTTCCCACGAGGTTATTTGAGGTTATCAAATGTAATCTATAGCTTGTAGCGTATTAGTTGCAAATATTTTGAACTTATTCTACTTCAAGGAAATTGTAAAAAATACTCATTAGAAAAATCATAAAGGTTTTTCTATATATATGTATATATATATATATATATAATATATATATATATATATATATATATTCTTATATATTCATAACATTCGCGTGTTCCCTTTATATACATATGATAAATATTTTTTTTATTCCTTTCAGCCTTAAGTTTTATTTCATTTCAAATCCCCCCATCAAACATATGTTTTCACGTGATGTACGAGGAACAACTAAAATACCCTGTCATCGCCCCAGGATAAAACATTTACATATATACATACAAACATACAAACATACATACAAACATACATACATACATAAATACAAACATACACTGTCGACTGTATCTTATATCATTTTAATTTCTGGCACATCTCAGCTGCTTTTCGGCAATAATAATGTAGGCATTACATTTTTCTTGTTTATTAAATTCTAATATTGTCTAGGCTCATAATTTCAGCTAAATTCAAATTTCAAGTGAATTGGCGTTTCTAGGAGATCAAATGTTTTCAATGTTAAACAATGATAAGTGGTTTTTTGTAATTTTTGCTATTTATTTCTACAATATTACTATAGTTTTATCGTTCATTAAATCTTAAAAATTTTTTTTGACACACTTCAGAAAGATTTATCAAAATCTGAATAACCGTTTAGGGGAAGTATTAAATCATACACGCGTACAGAAGAAATTTTATATATGATATATATCTACATATATATAAAATTAAGTCCGGTTTTCCTTCCTGATATAACGCCAGAACGCACGAACCGATTTCGACAATTTTGCATTCGTTGGAAAGGTCTCGGTCTCCGCAAGGTTTATAGCTAAGAAAATTAGTTGTGCATGGCATCGTGCCTTAATGCAAGCTGCTGGAACTTCACGCACCGTAATTAAAAATTCGAGTAATCACAATAGTGAGAATTATCAGAATTATGCTTGTTTAAGTCAACGAGCAATTCTTGCCGCAAAGAATAATGATGTACACGCACTGAATTTCACCATTCAATCAAAAATTGCTGGCGATTTCGTGACATACCAATGATTCCGACTGGTCTTCCATTTGACTTCAAACGATTGCAATTTCCAGTTCGCAATAACAAGTCGCAAGGCCAATAGTTCCAGTGTTTGCGGGTTAAATTTCAAATAGATTATTTAGAAAATCATTGTTTTTCACATGGGCAGTTATACGTTGCCTGTTCACGAGTTGGAAAACCAACCGCTTTGTTTGTGTTAACGTCAGACCAAAAAACAAAAAATGTGGTTTACCAAAGTGCACTTCAATAAAACGGATAATTTGCGGATTCACTTTCATTTACTTTGAGAAGTTCAACTAAAAAAACACTTCCTTTTTGTATTCGAAATAAATTTATTACTGTTGTATAATAAAATCAAATTTTTCCTTTTCAAATATTAACAAACAAAAAAATGCTTCATCTTTCTCACGAAACCATCTGGTGGCGAAACGGAGTTTGTCGAGTTTGCTAGTATATATATATATATATATATATATATATATATATATAACATATGGTATAATTATATCCATTATCGAAAATACCGATAACAATTATCGAGGCGTCAAATATCGATGGAGGCGTTTCTCACGCGCGGCAACACTCTTTTTCAATATAACCAATTAACGGAAATTCTTCTTTAACACTCACTCACTCTTCTTTCTTTATTTTTCTTGTTTTTTTGCCGTTATTTATTTTACGTCTTCTTTTACACGATCACGATCACAATCACAATCACGATTAACATCTCGGCGAAGAAGAAATAATATAGAACATAGGATACATATATAAATTGATGGTAAAATAATGCAATGAGAATGTGGATCTGTAGGGATCGGAGACATGGACTCTAACAGATAAGAGACTGGAAATGTATAGAAAAGAACTGAGTACTTTATTATATTACAATTGTTTTATTACATAAAAGAGAACTGTACCGCCGTCTTTAAAGTATTTTTATTTAACTGCAGATTTGTTAAAACTGTGATTTTTTAAAACTAATTTTATAAACTGTATATTTTAGAAAAAACTGTAGATTTAAAAAAAAAAAAATCAAACTGTGGTTTTTAAAAAGGCTGTAGATTTTGGAAAAAATGTAGATTTTAAGAAAAACTGTAGATTTAAAAAAATACTTTTGAAAATAAACTACATTTTTTTATATAATAAACTTTACATTAAAAAAAAACTACATTTTTCAAAAAACTGAAATTTATAAACTGTAGATTTCTTAAACTGTAGCTTTTTACTCTGTATATTTTTAAACTTCAGATTTTTCAAAAGAGTAGTTTTTTTAAACTGTATATTTTGTACAATTATAATATTTTTCAAACTGTATTATTTCAAAACTATACAATTTTTAACTGTGGTTTTTCATATGAGAATATTTTAAAATTGTAAATTTTCTAAAAATGTATATTTTTTATATCAGGAGACTTTTTGCAGCTGTGATTTTCTGAAACTAATTTTTTAAAACTGTAAATTTTTCAAAACCGTAAATTTTCTAAAACCGAAAATTCTCTAAAACTGAAAATTTTCCAAAACTGAAAGTTTCCTCAAACTGTAAATTAAAAAAAAGTAGATTTTTTAAAAATTGTAGATTTGTTTGACAACTAAAAAATTTTAAACACAGATTTTCCAAAACTGTGATTTTGTAAACCAGCAATTTTCTTAAACTGTAATTTTCTAAAACTAATTTTCTAAAACTGTAATTTTCTAAAACTGCAATTTCTTAAAACCTCGAATTTTTCAAAATTGCAGATTTTTCTGAACTTGTTAAAATTGCAGTTTCTCTACGTTCAAGATGAGTATTTATTTAAAATTGACATTTTTTCGTAGAAAATTGAGTATTTTAAAAATTTGTGATTTTTTCAAAACGGCATATTTGAAAAAAAAATCGGAGGTTGTTGAATTCTAAAAATTTTCGTGAACTAGCCTCTCGACTATGGAATTAAATACCTATCGATACTCGTTCAAAAAATACGTTACGACCGATACATTATCGTGTTATTTACATTTAACACATTTTACCTTTAATTGACACTAAGTATCGGTCTATTGTTGAATATTAGGTTTCTGACACCTACTCTGTCTACGAGTCAAACTCTACATTTCCATCTCGATAATTAAATTAAATTTGTAATAGATACATACATAGATACATACATACATACATATGTACATAATATATTTTTTAACTCATTTTATTTTAATTATCCTTTAAATTCCGACACATGTCCTCTAAATTTTTATTTAAGCCGCGTCTCCATCGAGATAAATTTCGGCGTTTCTTCATTCTTTGTCGTCGGCGTCGGCCTTTCTACTTGCCGGTCTTGATCTTCTTCAGAAGCGTTTTAAACAATGGTGTAAATCAGGTGCTAATTGGCAACAAAGAAATTCCAGAAGCCGACGTTACGACTTTTTTTTTTAAAGACTTGTGTCTTCCAACTTGCTAACATTCGAGCAAAATCTGAGACACTGATAAAATATAAATAAATTGACTTCTTAACACTCTATAAAGATAATGAAGGTATCTGATAAAATTTTTGGTAAATTATAATAAATTTATTATATAGTA